GAGCTGCAAAAGTTCAGATTTTCTAACTTCCGCGATTTGGACGATTTGAACGATCAGATCGTCCAAATCGTCCAAATCGCGCTGCTCTAATCGCGCTTGAGGCGCCGCAGCACTTCCCGACGTTGCTTGAAGCGCGTCCACCATAGACTTTGTATGTAAACCTGCTGCTCCTGACGCTGAAATCGCGTTCGGTGTGAACGCACCATGAGAGATGGGAAGAGAAGGGAGGGGGGAGAGCGCGGGTAGCGCTGCTACCCGCGCTGCTGCTGCTGCTCTGTGGGAGCGTCAGCGAACTAACAGAACGGTAATCATAAGTTTTGATCAGATTTTTTCTAATCCTATCAGGGAAAGTGGGGGGGACAGATCAGGGTCACTATAAATCTGGGGGGGACATGTCCCCCCCGTCCCCCGTACTAACTGCACCCATGCTTTTTTCACAACAACTTGGCTCAAAACTATCACCATTCATCTCTGGTTATTGCTGTCTGAGCTGGTCCTTTTCACAAACTGCTTCTGGACATTTATTGTCACCAAATTATCTGGAAATGCATGCATGCTTTTCACATGGTTTGGTGTTTCTGTTGCAGATGGACAGAAAGCAGTAAACAAATTTAACTAAATACATACAAAAAATAAGAAAAAACTAAACAATGCAAATGGAAGTCCTCAGAGTCACCCTGATTAAACGACTTTCATCTTTTGAGTTTGTGCTGTGAGCAAAAGTTATGCACTTTGGTCTACACTGTTTTTGTTTGAGCTGCTTTATCAAGAAGAAAAAAGTTTCAACAATAAGAAGCTCTGATCACTGCATGATCTGAAGTGAGTTGAGTTGTGCTTTACAGACATGTTGGACAAATAACTTTTATCTTTTAATTGACAGTTTGAAAAGAACTCGAGCTCCCAGGAAACATCTCTCAGTGAAAAGAAATCATAAAACATAAAGCAACAGCAAGAGCTTATATTAAAGTTAGACACACAATGAATATCAGTTGACTATAATAAATTCCATTTTAAATATTTAAATCCTAGCGATGGGAAAACTTGTAAGAGCGTGAAAGATGCTGCCATAACTTACAACATAGGCATACAAACACACTGGAGCAAATCCCCCTACAGCTGCTTAAATTTCCAGTGATTTATAAATGTGTCACTTTTTAGTTACTTCTTTATTTCCAAGCTGGACTGTGAGGTGTTTTCTTTCATAAAATTAAAAAAATAAAAAGAAAATATTTTACTTTTGTTAGCCTCTACTCTTTGGCCTCTAATTTCTGCCAGGGTGATTTAGATCATCACGATGCTGCAGTTTTCCTCTAAGCTTCAGCAAACTGGAAGCAGTTTTGCACATTCACAAGCAGTCAAGGTGAGACCTCCAAACATCATCTGTCTAACATCTTTTGCACGCATGCAGCTCAGTTCAGCCACACCTCTGTGCTTTAACAACAGTTTTAATCCTGGATAGTTCCAAGATTCCTGGAAATCCTTACATGTCTGTGAACGTTTGACCTTGACATTTTAAAGCCAATYGCAAATGAGATTATTTTTCTAAATTTCTCAGTTCTCGTTCATGATAAATAATCCATATCCTGCAGAGAAGCTTGAAGTAATTCTACTCTGTGTGTGAGACAATGTGCTGCAGCCACATGATTACTGGTTTTATGGCTCATTCTCAACCTCCTGATGACTGCTGCAGCAGTTTCCTCTGGTTTTGAAGCAGCTCGTTGTAACATTAGCCACGTGAATACTGTACAGCCTCACAGTGTGATTTTTTTTTTATCTTTCTGTGTGATTAATTTATTTCTGGAGCCAACCCATGTAGAGTTTAAAAACCAAAATTCAACTAAATTTGTTGATGCACTTAAAAAAGCAAATCAAGAATTTGCTGCTGCATTCTCTATTTTTTTATTTTATTTTTTCAGTGATCACAGATTGTGTAAAATGTAACATGTGTATCTCAGACCATAAGGATGAGTTCAACTTTGTAGGAATTTGTTTAAAACTAGTCATAAGAGACAAAAACTCCAAAATAACAAGGGGTGTAGCAGCACRTATGGAGAAAATTGTGGCTCGGTACAAGTTTGGTGTAGCAGGAGAAAGAAACAAATGCCAAAAGCTATTTTTTTCTCCACTTATTTTAAACAGAAGATAACTCTCCCAGAAGCAGGGACAGAAAAACAAATCAGCATTGTTAGTGTGTAGGCTCCAGTGTAATGGATTGTGTTCAGCAACGTAGGATTTGTCACCTGGTAATGTTACTTTAAAAATAAAAAAAGCCATATTATACTGTTTTATGTAATCAAATTGAACAACAAACAGATATTAAAAATCTCCTAAACAGGAAATTATTTCTCTTTTTTAATTATAAAAAAGGATTTCTTCAATTACTTTGGTCTGAACTTGTTTGGAAATAAAAGGTACTGTGTAATTAAATATCASTCTCCATATGAGGGAATACAAATGATTCTATTTAATGTTAAACCTTCACACTTCACTCCTCAGCCAGGTGAAACATGATGCTGATACACRGGTAGAGCTGATTAAACAGCTGATGGCATGTTTAACAATATTTATCAGATACTGAAGGTCATTTCAAAGTGTGCAAAACATGACCCTTCAGGCTTTCCATACATCCACTGCTGCTGTACACTCAAAAAACAGAGGTAGCAAATTTACTCATGTCAGCTGGTTCCATTCAACCGAACTGAGTAAAGGAACCATTTTTATTCCTCGGTCCATTAATAAAATATGYCCAGAGCCATAAAAACTGTGATTATCAACTGGTGGCTCGTGGACCACTTCAAATTTGTTAAATTTGGGTCTTTTTGGCCTGGGGGGCATGAGTAAAAATGTATAGWGAATTTTAATGTTTATTATTGTTTTTACACTTTGGGACAAATGAAAAGACCTTATTCATGTAAACAAGGAAAACATACTTACATAGTTTACACCAAATTTAATTTTTAAAAAACACAATTGAACTATGCAGATATCTTATTATCTCGTCTAGTATTAAAGGCATTTAAAAGGTAAACCTGACTGATTTGRGAGAAAGATTCTTCTTTAAGGTTGAAAACTGCTGGGTCGGCTGTGGCTGAGTTAAGGATGWTTTGTACTTGTTATCTTTGTAAGGAGTTAGTAGTGCTGAGTGGATGGGTAAATGAGAACACAGATTGTAGTGTAAAGTACTTTGAGTATGCTGGTTGGATAGAAAGGTGCTATATAAGTACAGTCCATTTATATTTGGATTATTGAAATGCCCAACGACAGGCTACCATGATACAATCAACATGTTACACTCTTTGCATTACTKATCACATTTGCAAACAAATTAACATGAAAACTGCAAATGCTAGATTTTTAGGTTGTGAGTATAATAAYCACAAAAATCAWCCTCATGYTAGCTTTGGTCAAAGCTTCAAAGAGCTGCTGCAGAGAGACCAACGAGCCACATGTGGCCCCAGAGCCGCAGATTGCARACCCCTGAGCTATCAACACTGCAACATAATCTAGTGGTTGAGACCACTAGATTACAAAGATTTTACTGAACCCCTACAAATAGACAGGTTGCTACAAAGAAAATAAATAAATAAACATTTGTCCAAGCAGTTTGGTTCTCTGTGTGAAACGTGTAAATACTACATGTCACAATTATTATGTTTGGTAATCAAAAATGATGATTTACACACTTCAATTTGATTTTTTTCATCAGTTTATTTTAAATATGGAGATAAATCCTCAGAAAGATGCAGCGCAAATTATAATCTGAAATATAGTATTATTATACCACGCTGTCAAATCAGCTTAATATATGACACAATTGGCAAATAACAGCAATTGCAACCTACAGAGGGCAGTACAGGCAGACAAACTTAATTCCTCAAACAATTTGACAATCCTTATTTAGCAGTTGTCAGAATAAATATATAACTAAATGATCCAGGTCATAAAGAAGTGAGCAGGTTAATCACACCAACCTTTCTGGAGCTGTTCTCCGTGCTGCTCCTTTGGTGGTCAGCCTGGTTGTCCTTCTGTTCGTCCATGTTCAGGTTTCAGCAACCTTAAGCAGAAGGTCGTAATTTGTCATACAAGACATTTAGTTCACACACAATACCCAGAGGAGCTGAGGAATCATTTCACAACAAACATTCAGGAAGTGGAACTTCTTATAGAAGCCATGGGTAAAAAAAATATATATATAAATAAATAAATAAAAAAGAGAGAAAAAAAAGAAAAACATCTGCTGAGGAGGAAATAACAGTTCCTCTATATGCTGACATGCAGCAGAAGCTTATAAACACACACACACACACA